AAAATATTTAATTTATTTAAAACAAATTTAATAATATTTAAATAACTTATTAAAATATTATTATAATATATCGAATAATTTTAATTTATTACATAGTAGGAAATAAATTTTCTCTAAAATTATGATATATTAAACTTATTTTGAATATAATAAATAAATTTTATAATAATTTTTATATTTAAAATTGTTAATTTTAAATCAATTTTAAAAGGTGTGCGCGCCATTAGCGAGATGCCACAATGGCGCCTTTCGATTTTGATCAAACCTGCAACAGGTTGGCAGGAAGGCATTTAATGCCTAAGATTGCGACCTTGGTGGCCAATCATTGTAAGATTCAACTGGCGTGCGGCAGCAGCGGTTTCACTTAACCACTTCAGCACATGTTGCTGGCCCGTCTATATTTGCGTGGTTTCGAACCGACAGTGGAATCACCCGTGGATGGAAATCTCTTAATCGGTCTAATCCTGTTTGAAATGAGACACCAGTTAGGCTTAATTCTGGTTTGGTTGATACTTAGATCAAGCGACCTATTAACGCATCGTATCATGGACATAGCGATACTGTCCTGATCGCTGTCCAAAAATGAATCAACAACTCAAATTGAGTCGATGGAAAAAGGATCCTGTGAAAGATCTACCATCAAAATGTAATAGAAATCTGCTCCAGGATCGTCCAGACGATCTGGATCCGCCGGGACGATCTTGAGAATTTGCTTCCAGAATTTTGACCAGATTTGTCCAGGTGTTTTCTGTAGGCATCGGCCAGGCCGATGTGCACTGTTCAAAATATCGGCCGGAGGATAGTCCTGGGACCGTCCCAGGACGATCAAATTTGGTTGATTGGTCCTTGGACGATTCTGCGATCGGCCGGGCCGATCTGAGTATTATAAAACTGAAATCAGTCGTTTTTGGGGGAAGAGAGAGAAAATTTAAAAAAAAATGAAAAATATCTTTTTGAGGGAGAGAGAAAGTCGAGGAAATTTTTGGTAAGTTGGATTTTCCGGGCGACGCGGAGCTGTTTTTCCGTTCCGACGAGATTGTTCAGGAAATTGAAAGTACGCAAGGTACAGGCACAATTTTCCGCCTTCTCATTTTCAAGAACCCGTGTGTTTGGCCGGTATTTTCTGTCCGAAATTTTGTTTTCTGTTTAGCGATTGTTCGTCCGTATCTTTTGATTGGTTCAGTTTTAATCCGCGTAAAACTTTTTTGTATATTGGTTGTCGTGCCGGGTGTGCAGTTTTTTGGACTATATTTTGGAAGAATTTTTGTCCAGGTATTTTTGATCTTCGAAACGGAGTTTTTAGTCGACTGGATTTTTCTGTGTAATTGAAATCGTATCTGTCGTAGAATAAAGTCTGAAAATTGTTATATCTACATTAATGTACGAATTTGGGTAATGTAATTTTCAGAAAAATATTGTGTAAATTTCGTATACTACTCCGTTGTGCTGCCTGATTTTTGTCTGATTTCTGATTTGTTCCCGGATTTCTTTGATTGATATGCTATTTGTATATGCCTATACAAAGGGAGTTAATAAAGGGCCTGGATCCTATGAAGATTTCAGTTAGTGTCTGGGAATCTGAAAATGAGCTCAAATCTGAATTTCTGTTCTGTTCCGATCCGAGGAAATCTTTTAGGTGCTATAAGCACTATATATGTATTCTGGTGGCGATAAGCACATCTGTTTCTGGTGCCGTGAGCACAAAGGAGAATAAGGGGTCTGGAATTCCCGTGAGATTCAGTTCAGTGTTCAGGGAAATTTAGCTATTAGTTATATATCTGATTATCTGTTTGTTTCTGATCTTGTTTCCGTTCTGATTTCAACTTTCTGATTTGATATATGTCTGTTTCAGTTCCGATTGATTTTGGTTTGAATATGTCCGTATCTGTTCTTGATTTGATCTATTTGTTAATGAACTGTCCGACTATGATTTCTGTAACGAAGATTCCGATATCTGTCTGATTCTATTTTGGTTTCTAATTGGAAAATTTGGGTCTGGTGTGTTTTGGTTTGGATTCTGGGGAAGTTTTGGATTTGGAGGTTTGTCTGCTTTTGCCTGAGCTGTTGAGCTCACTCTCATTTTGGTGGTTTTCAGGTTCTGGGAAGGGAAGGAAGTCCAGGACTAGAGTTCAGAGTCCGATCTGTGAATAAGGTCCTTTTGTACTTTTGGATTTTTGTACGGTCATGGCTTTTTCTTCTGTTAGCAATGTACCGTATTTGTAGATGATTGTTTTTGGGAAAGAAAAAAAAATATAGATTATTTGTTCCGCTTGCATTGAAGTTCATAGTAGCTCTGGTCTGTTCTTTGTGTTGGTTTTTTTGAGTGAAATAATTTAAGAAAGATTTAGTTCAGTAAGCAAATTCAGAAGCCAGATCCTGGTCAGTCAGTTTGTTCGTTTCTGTGTCGGCGACAACGGTGCGAGCGGGATCCGTCCGGATCGGGTCCGGCGCGTCGTGACAATTCTAGTGGTTGGATCTGACAACAGAGCTATAGGAAGTGATCTGTAGTGAGTCAGTCTTGTGTAGTTTTAGTTTTGTTTTGGCTTTTTATTGTGTTATTTTTGTGAAACAGTTTTCCCGGAATTTTTTCTAGATTTTTATGTATGGATCAAGCCCAAGACCCAGACTGCTGACAGGCAAGTTCCAGTCCAGGCAAGCACAAGTGGGGAGTAAGCCCAGTGGCCGGTGCTGGACACGCTGTCACAAGTTTGCTTACGCTTTTTGTTGCTCAGATAATGCAGCGAGACTCGAGCAGAGCTTCTACCTCGTGATGCCCCAGAATCAAATAGTGAAAGATTCGTCTGACATTTTTCTGATCGAACTCCATTCTAGTTTGCCTTGCTCGGACCTGAAAATTAAAAAAATTAAAGTTATTTTAAAACATTTTAATTAATCAGAAAATATAATTTGAATATTATATAATTTGAATATTATAAAATTAACTAGGATGACCCAGGGCCTAGGTTAGGGCTCAACAGACTTTGTTTGACCCATTGAATGCAATAGAAGGGGTCTTGGGGCTCGGCTTGATCAATTTGACCAAGTCAAACCCTTTGACCCAATAGTTATGACAAAAATAAGGTCAACAAGGAACAAGCGGGAGGAGCAATTGTTAATAATCTCAGAGAGAAATCATATTAGAAAAATGAAGAAATGGATAAAAAAGAATAGGAGAAAGCAGAAATATGATAGTTGCATAATTCAACATTAGGAAGGTATATTAAATTTTATGCTAAATAATAATCCAGTGTTAGAAAATGACTAAAGCAACAACAATAATGTTGTATGGAGAGTTTATGTGAGGTGATGTGACACGATGGAGTGAGGGCTAGATAATTGCAACATGAAGGCTGATATAAAATAATTATTGGGAACGAGATGCTTGGTTCATCTCTTATGAGGGACTTTGTAAGCGAGAAGGAGTTAGCAATAATTTTCAGTGTGCGAATAATATCAATATGAGAAATAGGAAGGGTGCATGTAGGAATCCTAAGGGTTGCGATGGAATGCATGGTCAAGATTTTGTCATTTTTATTTTTACGGTTTAGACTTAGTTTAGAAAGAGTAGGGAATACGAATACCAGAGTATAAATGATTATTTAATTAATATAAAGGAATACTAAGAAGCATTAAAGAATTTAAATGATATCTTCATTTATTTGCTTAAATGAAAAATTTTCTCATATGACAAGTAAAAATATATATATTATTTTTAAAATTATCAATTAATCATGATAAGATAATAAAATCAAAAGCTACGATTCTATTTGAATAATAAAAATGAAAGGCTAAGATTTTATTTGGGAGTAAAACTCAAATGTCTTTTATAATAGTAGTATAGATGTAAAAATTCTTTAATAAAATAATTAATTAAAACTTATACTTTAAATTTTTTATCATTAATTATTAATATTATGAATTTTTAACAATTATTATTGAATGAATATTAATTAATGAATTATGATATTAATTTCTCCAATAAGTATAAATTAAACATATAATGTAAATACATAATATAATTAATTGTATTTAAATAAAAAAATAATCAAATAATTATGATTAAAATATTTAGCATTCTAATAATTAGCTCTACTTAAATGCAATTAAAATGTCATGGATTTAATTAAATAAATAAAGTTAAAAAAATTAACTTAATGTGCAAATAAAATGAATGATTTGAATTTATCTTTGATAAATAAAATGAAAGATTAAGATTATATTTGAGAGGAATCCCAAATCACATTTATATAATAATATAAAATATAAATAGTATAGATATGTAAAAATTGTCTCTTTATATATATATATATATATATATATATTCAAAATTACAAACTTATCAAAATAGATAACAGCGATATGTCAGACTAATTCATTATTGAAATACATTAGATATTGCAAATCTCTCATGATTTTGGGCGGCCTGCAGGCAATTCGGGAGAATGGGCTGAGTCGAGGGCGGCTGAGATTGGCGCGTCATGATCGTCATGTTCCGGTGAGCATTGTGAACAGCAGGGTAAAGTTGAACCAGCGCGGCGGTAAGCTGAGCCGGTGCAAAGCGACAGATCGGTAGCGTCCATGGAGTGAGTTGGCGAGGAGGTCTGTTGTGCTAAGGAGCAGCGCAGCGGAGAGCAAACGACTAGAAAATACCGCGAGATCTCGCACGCAGTGGAAAGCCGGGAAAGTGAAACAGGCGGTCACACAGGACTCACAGAAGTGGCAGCGTAGTAGCACGCAGCGACTCTAGTGCGCGCGCTCTCTCTCTCTCTCTCTCTCCCTCCTTCCTGTTCTCTGTGACCTTCTTGCCTTGATTTGGGTTTTTGTTGGTCGGCCGATTCGGCGGAATCTTGGGACATGGAAGAAGTTTATGGGCTTGGTAATGGTGGGTTGTGACGCTTCTGATTTGGAATTAGGCGTTGAGAAGCGGAGGCGCGGTGAAGCGTGCGGGATAAGGGCAGGAAAGTTGTGTTTTTAAGCGGCAATTGGGAGATCGGGGGTGATCTCGTTGTTGGAACCATCAGGAGCAGTGGCTCATTGATTTGCTTGTGGGATTTTAGCTTTTGGAAGTAACATTCCTGATGGGTTGAGATTGCTGCCGTTCTTGCTATTCTGGGTGAATTGGCTGTTTTGCGCGAGAATAAGGTATTTTATGATGTGAACGAAGGGATTCGGGTCTCTCTTTGAGGCGATTGGTTGGAATTGTGGGTAGGGAGTGTATTTGGAAGGCTCTTTCTGCTGGAATCGTTGAATCATTGAGTTTTTGTTGGTTATTGGTGAATTTCTTGGCGAATTACCGTGTTATACTGGTCTCTTTCTACTTAGATCTGCATTTCTGAAGTTTGATCTCTGCCTTTCGTGGTTTCCATACACTGGAAGATTTTTATGTTAGCCGGAGTGGGGAAAGTAATCTATTCGGAACTCGTTAGGAGGCGCTTTTGAGCACTGCTTTAGGGCCAAACATTGAGCTACTTCAGTTTTAAAAGCATCATAACGGAAGAGGCGGACGTCTCTAGGGTTTTTGCCTTTTCCTTTCTGTCTTTTCATAAATGATTGATGCATCTATTGGCGGCTGTGATGACTAATTCGGGGATGGCTGTGCTGTTTCCTCACTGGTAGTGCGGCGAAATTAATGTCTGTTTATGAGAATTTATAGCTGCTTTTAACGGGCCGGCCTCCTCATTTCACTAGTTCTTTTTATGCAGTCTTGGTTGAAAAGTAAATGAGATTTTAAGTGATAGCCAAGGCTCAGTGAGCCGTGTTTCCTTTTGTTCATTTTGCTTTTGATTCTGCCTGGAAGTGGTCGAGCTTCTCAAGGGGATTATACGGAACTCTCATGGCTCTTGCTCCTCCCACTCGTTCAGCAAGCGAGGTGCTTGGTTCAGGTTTGTAATTGACGGCCAATTTTTTTGTCTTCTACTTTTGGCTTCTTGGATATAAATTCTGCATTTTTTTCTTCATCAGCAGTAACGGCTCACTGCCTTTTATTATAGCATGTTTAAAGAATTTATGCATGTGTTACTTATGTACATGTGCGAAGAAGGTTTACGATTTCGTTTACCTTTTCTTATCACTTCGTACTTTATCTGCTGAAATTGTTAACAGAGAAAAGTGTGTTTTGTCACAGGTTCATTTTCATCTTCGTCTATTCATGCTTTATATGATGTTTGTTCCCCATTTCCGCCTGAAGTTTGTTAGCTTTTCTTGTTTTAAGCTGTTTCTTTGCCTTCAACTTCTTTTAAATGAAAATATTGGATTTGGTGGTTCACTTCATTGCTGTATATAATATGTTCCCATTGCCTCTCTCTTAATTTGCGCTGCCTTTTTTTTATTTCCATTAATGGTCTGCTTCTTTCTTGTTTCTTGTTTTCTCCTGAAACTGATGGCCTTTTATAAAGTTGATTATAATCCTGATGACCCGTTTTCTACTAATCGCCGTGTCATTTAAGTGGACTGGAAGGTGTTCTGCAACTTTTTCATATTTGAATGGGTTTTTCCTGACGAACTGTTACTTTTGTTTGAATTTATGATTGCTATTGTAAAAATGGGCTCTTTTTTTCAGCTACACTCCATGGGAATCTGTTGTACAAGGAGCTCTGGCATGCTTGTGCAGGGCCACTGGTTACGCTACCTCGTCAAAAGGAGCTAGTCTATTACTTTCCTCAAGGTCATATGGAGCAGGTATTCATGTTATTTCTTTTACATTATCGTTTTGACTTCAAAAACGTTTACCAGTCATTTCTTTGTTTTTTTCTGTAGCTCGAGGCCTCAACTGATCAAGGACTTGACCAACAGATGCCTTTTTTTGATCTTCCTTCGAAGATCCTTTGCAGAGTGGTGAATGTTGAACTTCGAGTAAGCTCTACTCTTTACTCTTTGAAATGTGAAGATCTTTCCGCATGTTCTTTTTCTGATGGTTATACAACTCCACAATTAACTTGTTTGTTTGGTATTATTTAAGGAATTACACATTGGTATCTCTTTTTTATGCAGGCCGAGCCTGATACTGATGAGGTTTATGCACAAATTACTTTGCAACCAGAACCTGATGTGAGTATCTGTACCACTGTATTGTTGGTCATTTGTCAGAAGAATTCGAGATAATTATTTTCCTTGGAAATGTTCAATGATGTTTTTCCCAACTTCCTATATTACCAACCTTTGCAATCCCCATTCGGTTGTTTTTCTATATGCTCGACTTGACAAAGTTCACTCCATTGGTCTTGTGTTCATGTTTAAGATTATTTTATTAGCCTTTTCTCCATCGCATTGTTCTGTTTATTTTGGTTTTCTTTATTTTAATAATATTTGTTTAATTTATTAGCAAAGTGAAGTGACCAGTCCAGACCCTCCCCTGCCAGAACCTGAATGCTGTATGGTTCATTCCTTTTGTAAAATGCTTACAGCTTCAGATACAAGCACCCATGGTGGATTTTCAGTTCTTAGGAGACATGCAGATGAATGCCTACCTCCATTGGTGAGTTGTAACTTCTAAATTTATGCGTCAACAATTATCATAGCATAATCCACAAGGGCGTGAAATCTGTAACCTTTTACCTATCGAAATTTTGTTGCAATCTCCTGTTAATCAGTGTTTTTTTTTTCTTTTATTAAGGATATGTCGCAGCATCCACCATGGCAAGAGTTGGTTGCCAAAGATCTACATGGCAATGAATGGCATTTCCGTCACATTTTTAGAGGTTTATTATGTTTTACTTTTCATTTTATGTTAGTATTAAGTATTTCCTTGTAATTGCACATTATGAGTTTTAAAAAGATTGATTATGTGTAGATTTAAGAGAATAGCTATAGCCAATTAAACTTCACCTTCTCTTCTTTGTTATCGGTAGTTTTTTGTGAAGAATTTTTTTATGTACAAAGTATTGCTTCTTTAGTTCTTGTGAACTTGGCACAGTTCATTGGTATAATTGTAGAATTGGGAAAAAATAAATTATCATTGTTTTCTTAATTACTTATTCATTCTTATAGGACAACCTAGGAGGCATTTGCTTACCACTGGATGGAGTGTTTTTGTGAGCTCAAAGAAATTGGTTGCTGGTGATGCATTTATCTTTATTCGGTAAGTATTTTGAGTTGTCCTAACCTATGTTATGCATTTTGTTTCTCCAAAATTATCTCATCAATGGATTGGCTTGGTAGCCTTTTTATGGAAATGATTCATGTTAAGTTCTTATCAATGACCGTCTTTTATTTATGGCAGAGGTGAGAATGGTGAGTTGTATGTTGGTGTAAGACGTCTTATGAGGCAGGTAAATAACATGCCATCATCTGTTATATCGAGTCACAGCATGCATCTTGGAGTCCTTGCAACTGCATCACATGCTGTGTCTACTGGATCGCTTTTTTCTGTCTTCTATAAGCCAAGGTCGGTTTTTTCAAATTCTATTTAACTGGGGAATGTCTGAAAAGATTACTGTTTGTATTTGCTAATTAAATTTTCCACCTATTTAAAGAATTTCATAGATTTATGGTTGTTCTACACTTAGGACGTTTTCCCTGAATTCATTGATACTGAGCACTAGATAACCAATTAACCATTCTTTGAATTTTTTTTTTTTTCAAGCGGAGTTTGTCACCATTCTTAGATCAATCACAAATTTATCTTCTGAAAATTGGGGCATCATTTTTTTAATCAGTAATTTGTTGCTACAGAGCAAGCCGTTCACAGTTTATCATAAGCGTAAACAAGTACCTGGAAGCGAGAAGTCAAAATCTGTCAGTTGGGATGAGGTTTAAGATGAGATTTGAGGGTGATGAAGCTCCCGAAAGACGGTATTCAATAGAACTTATGGATTTACAAACAATAGCACTATTAGATGTTATACCATGTCGTCTCACATAATGTCTACTCGATCATGTGGCTCTTATTATATATATGTATAATTATTTTTTCATCCTGAAACAGGTTCAGTGGTACAATAATTGGTATAAGAGAAAAAGCTTCTTCTAGTTGGCCAGATTCAGTTTGGAGATCGTTAAAGGTGATCCATTTCTGTTTTTCCTACTTTCAAAATTTTTATCTACTTATTGCAAACTTCGCTATATGGCTGACTGCCTTGTTTTTTTGTATACTGAGCTCTTGAAGTTTTTTTGGGGTTGGATTTCTTACATTTTACTATTTTAGTTACCTGGTGTTTTTAGTCAAATTAGGACAATTAGAAGGATTTGTGTGCTACAGATGTCTAGACCGCACTGCTTTTATGTATTAATGCTCTGATCAGGAGATTAGTAAGAGATTGAGTTTGCAAATATAATGTTATTAGGCTCATCTCTATAACAACTCCATGAAATTTTTTACCTGATTATGCAATTGAACTAGCATATATCCTGCCAGGAGTTTTATTTTACCTCTGATTTCCCTGATGGAATGCTTATTTTATTACCTTTGATTTTATTCTCCAAACTTACCGCATGTGTTATTTCACAGATCCAATGGGATGAACCTTCTTCTATCCCACGACCTGACTGTGTTTCTCCATGGGAATTAGAACCTATAGTTGTAGCTCCTCCGCTCACTTCTCAGACAATGGTCCGATGTAAACGAGCAAGGCCACCACTTTCATCTTCTGCGGCTCAAGAGTTTTCTTCTGTGCTTGGTATGGAGTTGTCTTTAAATTACTTGAAGTGTTCCTCATAATGAATCCATAAAGTTTTTTTAATTGCAAATTTGTTTTTTTTTTTTTCTTGTTTGAACTAATTTATGCTGATAGATTTTTTAGGCTAATAAGCTTGAGATTAGTGTCGTTGGTCTTTTTTGTTAAATTGTTGAAAATTGTTATACAAACATACCAAAACTTTCTTCACTATTGGTGATGTTCTGTTAAATCTTGAACCAGATCTATGTTTGGAAAAAGATTTGTGATTTGCGATCATCAAGAACCTGTTTCTATTGATTTCTGCTTTTAGGAATTATGGTAAATTATACTTCTGTTTTCTCTCACCTTACCTTTTTCCATATAGGTCCATGGAAATCCCAGTCTGAGACCAACCAGAGCCTCCCCTTCACAGGCTTACCACGAGGACATGAATCATTTTCGCTGCCCTGTCCCTCAACTCTCTTTCCATCATCTATCAACAGCAACATTGGACAACCAGCAACCAAAAACACTCTATGCTGGTCAACCAGGCCTGAAACTCAATCAGAATCATTTTATACCACCACTGTGAACGTTGATCAACCATCTGAAAAGAAACAGGAGCCAAGTAGCGGCTTCATGTTATTCGGGATCCAGCTGATTGAATCTTCTACTGTTGCTGAAGAGGCCTCATCAATGGCTGCTATCACTGATGTTGTCAAGGATGACCATGATCATCTGGGTGTTGATTCTGAACAGCATTCCCATCCCTCGAACATAAACCTGTCCGACGCCCCTGAGCTAAGCAGTGAGCCTGAAAATTCCTGCCTCAGATCACCCCAGGAATCTCAGAGCAGGCAAACTCGTAGCTGCACCAAGGTTTTTGTTTATACTAATCGATCATTTCTTTCCTGATTAACGCTTCTCTTGCATGAGCAATTGTGAATGAAGGGCTATTTACTCTTATTAGTGGCTAAGTGGAACCAGGTGATCACACTAAGGTCTTGTCAAGGCATGTGATGTTGATGCAAAAATACAAAGTAGTTGATAAGCTTAAATTTTTTAATTAAAAGCTATTTTATTACTAGTGTATTTAGATTACATTTGATTCTCTTTTGGTTAAACCTCTGTAATAAGTGGTACCAGAACAGGATAGTGATTAAGTTTTTATGTTGTTTGTAACTCCTATGAGTCTTAGTTGCCATCTAACCATAGTTGAGTAAAGTTCAAGAGTGAATGTCTCAATATGCACATCTTCATATGCTTGACTTATAGATTTTGGTACAGGATATTTAATAGTAAATCCTTGTTTGAGGGGGATGGCAGATGTGTTAAACTCTTATATGATGAAAATGCGTCACGTCACCTGGTACTGAGCGGTACCAAGCTACAACACCGAGTAGTACCGTCACTCGGTACCGAGTGACGTGGTGCATTTTTTTTGTGCTCTGTACAACGTTCGTTGTCTGCACAGAATAATTACTCATATGATTGGGTGATTATTACGAAAAAATGAATTTGAGTATTGACATATTTATCTAGCCCAAGTTTTGTTATCCATAAAATATTAATTATGGAGTGATTGTGATGTAATTTATTGATATTCATTATTATGTATGTATAGGTGCACAAGCTAGGCATGGCGGTTGGGAGGGCAGTGGACTTAACAAGGCTAGAGGGGTATGAGGACCTCCTTAGGAAGCTGGAGGAGATGTTCAGCATCCAAGGAGAACTTGTTGGGGAATCCAAGAAATGGCAGGTTGTCTACACTGATGATGAGGATGACATGATGATGGTCGGCGACGACCCTTGGCCGTAAGTAGACCGCTCTTTTAAGCTCGACAACGATTTTGAACTCATACTAAACATAATTTTGATGCAATTGCAGTGAGTTCTGTAGCATGGTGAAGAAGATCTACATCTACACATGCGAGGAGGCAAAGCGATTGTCTCCCAAGTCAATGCTGAAGAAGCCCTTGCCCCAGGCCATTGGCCCCTCTGATGACTGACCTGTTGTGGCTCTTCTTCGTCAGGTAATGTAGCACTGTTTTGCTTTCGTATATAGATAGGATCCTTTTCTCGTCGATACTATTCTACATAGGCATCCAATGATGGGGTCTTTTGATGTAATTGGCTTTCGGATTGCTGTTTTAGTTTGACTTGTTATACAGTGAGAAGGATTGGATTTAGATAAGTATCTGATGTGGGATTATTGTAAATAAGTTTTGTAATTTAATTTTTGTTGGGTTTGTGAAATTATTTATTTATTTACCTCCTGCTTGAAAAAAATGTATGAGAAGATTGTATTTAAGATTAGGGGCGAGCGTACCTGATTTAGGCTCGGCTTGATAAATGACTCGTCAGTCAAATTCGATGAGTTTGAGCCAAGCACGAAAATATTAATGTAAAATACACTCAAACACATTTAGTATTAAGGGGTTTAAGATATTGCAAGTGATTTATTATTATGCATATTATAATTTCTTATTCTTTATATTATTGTATTATAATTATTATTTGAATCATTAATATTTTTTTTCTTTTTCATAATAAATGAGCCGGTTTGTTAGCAGATTGGAACTCGCGGAATCAAGTTTGAGGTTAAGCTCAAACTCAATTAGTAGTCAAGCTCTCGAGTCAAGAATGACTTGAGCTTGGCTAGACTCATTTATGTATCTAGGATATTTTATATTGGAGTTAGTTCTCATTATGAACAAATATTTTAATTAAAAATAATGCATTTTTATTAGGATATGGTATTTTTCCTATTTAGATGAAGTATTTTATTTTTAGGAGACTTTTATGAAATAATTTATATAAGAAGTAAAGAGATTTATTTGCATGAAAGGGCTTCACATAAAGTGTCAGATGGCAACTTTTATGGTTTCATTTTATTCATAAATTTATATAAAGTGATGTGTTATGATTAGGGAGGGGTATTAGTAAGATTCACTTGAGGATAATTATCTCATTGGATTTAAATTCTCTCTATCATAATCGGAAGCTTAAAGTTATTTGATTTCAATTAATTTACTTTAGATGATTGAGCTTATTTTTTCTTAAATTATTGTGCTTTTGGAAAAAAAAAAACTAGTTAATTCCAATCATCAGAATTGAATTTAATGTTTGATTTTGAACTGAAATTGAAATACAAATCGAACATCGGATCCCAAATTATGTGATTTGAGGATCAATTCTAATAAGTTCAAAGGTACACATACATAAAAAGGAATCATAAACAAATCTATAGCTTATTTTATTATGGTTTTTTTTTTAGAGTTTGTTATGTGCATAGATTGGGAATTTTTATTTGGTCCGGTCACTTGATGTAGCTCTAGGTTCGGACGACTAGTAAAATAGTGCTACGAGTCCTCACTATTTACCGCGCGGCCCGACAAACCGACCCGGAATGGACTCAGGATTGCTATGTTCGCGTATTGCTCGGTATTACTCGGTATTGCTATGTATTGGTTGATTTTGCTCGGCAATAACGAGAAATACCGCTCTGTGAAGACCAATACCGAGCAATACAGAGTTTTGCTAGGTATTACTCGGTATTGCTTGGTATTGATCTTCACAGAGCCGTATTTCTCGTTATTGCCAAGCAATACCGAGTAATACCTAACAATATCGAGCAATACCGAGAAATACGCGAACATAGCAGTCCTGGTTTCCGGTCCGAGTCAGGTCGTCGGGACGTGCGGTAATGAGTAAGAGCACGTGGCGGCATGTTATTGTCGTCTGGATGTAGAGCTACGTCAGGTCACCTGTAGATTAGACACAGAGAATTGTTCGATTTTATTTCAGTAAAAATATAGTTTATTGTACTTTTACTGTTCATAGAAACAAAGTTAACGATTTCCGTTCCGGTCTTCACACATAATAATTTCTCAATTTTTCTAGATCTAACATTCGCACATTGAAATATATAAATAAAATAATATGAAAATTTTAATTATATGGCATTACGAAAGCTAAAGTGAAACAAAAAGTTAGATTAATATTTCACTATATTTTATTTTATCTAAAATAAGTGAAATATGTTTACATCTTTTTTTTTTTTCATTTTGAAAAAATAGATTAATTATTTTATGACATTATGAAAACATCTCAAAATTAGGTTTCAATATGTTTTAGAGCATGTTTGTAGGGATTTTAAATTATTAAAATGTCATTGATGTTAATTATATTAATTATTAAAAAATAAATTTAGTGTAAACTATTATCAAATTTATAAATGTTATATTGAGCATTTATTATTTCTAATTAATGCGAGATGTAATTATGATCATTAAATTAATCATAATAATACCATAAATTAATTAGCTAAAATGGTAATTATATATATTTAATTAATTTACTTTACTAGGGAAAAATTAGATTTCGATTTAGATCAGTAAGATTTAATTGAATTTTATTTTAAAATAAATTGATTAGTCATTTAATTGGTAAAAATTTATCTGAGAATTACGTAATACTTAGCAAAATCAAATTTAATAAAAATCCCTACAGACATGCTCTAAATTCTTATTCTAAAGTAAATTCAAATTTAATAAATGTTATATTGAGCATTTATACCGTGACATGATGCGTTTTGATTCGTCTATAGACGGCGATCGATGTCCACACAAAATATCACAAAATATTTTTTCCCGCTTAATGTAGTGGTCGTTTGAGACAACTTATTTTAAAATATTTATTTTATATAAAAAATTTTTGAGTAAAAAAATTTTGTACTAAAAAATTGCTTTAAAAAATAATAATAAACCGTTCCAAATGAAATTTACATGAATGAGTGATTATCAAAAATTGATCACATGATCTTATCATGGCTCGATCAACACGGTTGAGTTGGGGTCAAACTAAGAAGTAAGCCGAAGGCGATGGTTCGATAGCAACCCATACCAATTATCTTTCCAATAATTTTTTTTCTTTTTCATGATAACATATTTTATAGCCTTCAGATTAGCTTTAAAATGGGTGATATGTATCCTGATTAATTATACATATCCTCATAAATTTCACTAATCTAAAAGCTAATTCAAAGATTATAAAACCCATCATGACAGTATACAAAAAATTTATACCCTCTCAAGATGAGTGTATATAGTTTTCACAGCTACGGCATGCAATATAGAGGCAAATTATACGCTGATTTCTTCATAAAAATTGTGCAGAAAAATGTTTCATTCTTCAAATATCTTATATTCAAAGTTTATTACTGAGAGAAAACTTGCATTCAGAATACAATAATATTGGAAAATTACAGAAGCAGAGCTTCTCAAAAGCTCTCTACTCGATACGGAGACATAAGGTCTGGCTCTAATGCTGGCAGTTTTGGTAGGAGGAAGTCAAAGAAAATGCGGAAGTTTCAACTAGGGGTGTCAATATTTGACATGACACAAAAATTCGATCCGGACCCGACATGGAGTCAATATTTGACACGACACAAAAATCTGATTCGGACCCGACCTGGAAAATTCAAGTTGGACCCAATCCGATTTCAAAACAGGTTTTTGTGTCAGTATGAATTTTATAGATATCCCCAAGTGTATGTGTGCTAAGTCCCGTGTCGGGTCGGGTCAACCCGGCAACCCCCCGGGTCGGGTCCGGGTTTGAATTTCCGACCCGTTTATCTACCCGGGTCGTGTTAGGGTCGACTGTTTGAGGTCGACTCATTTGAACCCGAGTCTGTTCCAGGTTCGACCCGAACCCGACCCATGACCTGAAATTGACACCCCTAGTTTCAACACAATGGCTTCAGATCCGCAATAAAGCCCATTGGCAAATTTCATTTCACTTTCTATAGTAAAGCCATAAGAAAAAAAAAATCCATCAGGAATAGCTTTTGACTACTATTTTTACGATGTTTCTAAGAAATTTTTGTGCCTAAAAGTTGTAAAAATCAGTAAGAAAATTATCCTAAACAAAACCTTAAAAAGGCACCAAAGAGCTTTTTAGGCATCATCTATAATTATTTTAGGGACATTTAGGCTAATTAAGACAAACTCACACATATCATATACACAAGATTCAAATCCAAGACCTCTTAATTAATAATCAAAGCTTCCAAGCAATAGATTAAGGCCTTGTTTGGGACGGCTTTCTTATTGCCTATCAAAACAACTTTTTAGAATAAAAAATAAAAATTTTGTACTAAAAAGTTATTTTAAGAAGCAGCAAAAAAGCTGCTCCAATGCTTCGTTTGAGACATGCTGCTTTTTAAAGCAACTTTCTAATAAAAAAAGAAAATTTTTGTACTAAAAAAATGCTTTGAGAAGGAATAAGAAAACCGTCCCAAACAAAAACTAAGTAGAGTTGCATACCATATATATTTGATTTTGTCTGTGCTCACCTTGCATCTATACTGTTTGATATTCTAATACAAAATTTGAGATCAATTTTTATTCATTAAGGGAAAAAAAAGTCATTATGGGAGGAGTCCAGAAATATGCAGGCTGGATTGAGGTACAAAAAAGAGCAATGTTTTTGACGCTGCAAAGCTGTCTCCCTCAAGGATACTGCAATAGTTAGGTTGCACTATGGTGAGGAACCAAGAGAAGTAAATGAAAGACTCACTTAGGGCATAACTTTGAATTCGATCAACTCGAGTCGTCTTCATGATGAACCTAGAATCATCTTCAAGATTTATTGATTGTCCAGACGCGTAATTTCACTAAGAATAGTGAAAAATTATGTTGAAATAGAAAAAATTATGCTTGGTTTTCAGCTTAATAGTTCTCTTTAATCCACATTCCTTAAATTTAATTTGCTTGTTAGCTTCTTGAAGCTAGGGGATCAGCTATATTGTCTGCCTTTCTGATTTCTTTGGCTTGGATAACTCCATTTGCTTCATCAGTTTTTAAAGATCTTACCCATACAATTTTTTCTAAAAGGATATACATAGTTACCATTCTCCTTAGGAGTGAATGACTTTTTGGGCTGTTTTGGAGGTGAGGACTAAACAATAACCATCATGTTCTTTGCTTCTCAGCTCAACCTTCTTGAATCTATTTGAAGAACCTGAGGACCCATCTAGTCTAGGTAGTACTAGAAATACCTCATCATTCTAAATACTCTTTGCTTTGTTGACAAACTTCTCAAATATTTTGATAGATAAAAGTTACATGGTCCTTAATATTATTTTAGTAGAAGATCTACCACATGTTATTCCTGAAGTTGAGGCTCGCACTTCATACTCAAAATAGAGCACCTCAAAATGTAATCTTCTAATGACTTGGACTCTCTCCTCCTAGCCATCACAAGATCACTAGTTGACACTTTTCTCTAGCCACCGGCGAATCTCTTAATAAACAACTCTTCTAACTCAGAAAACATAAGAAGTGTTGTTGGGTAGCTCAACAAATCACTCAAAAGTAAATCCAGTAAAACTAGTCACAAAAAAGTCTAATAAGTAAAGCATCATTCCCTTCTATGTTGGAACACATGGATCTAAAGTGGGCTAGATGTTGCCTAGGGCTACTTGAATTATGGTGGGATAAAATATGATCATGTAGATGAGTAGCCACGTATTTCTCGCTTTGAGTTATTAGATAGGATTAAGAAAAAAGACAATCACATAGCCTAGATGCAGCAACATATTATTGATATGATGGCTACTATGACCATCATGACTATGTAGATAGAGACACTAAAGAGAGATAGAGCAGGACATAGCAAGGTCCAATAAATTGAGCAAATTCAGGTTGGAGTACATCCTCCTAGGTATATTAGTTTTCCTCCACTTCATCCTACACAACATGTGACTCCCCTTAGGTGCTTCAAATATTCAATTACAAAATAGTTATCACTGCACATATGCTCATGTTAAGAAAGGGAGGTTGTATACATACAAGTATGAGTAGTCTCTTACCTTGATGGTTTTGTTCCACCACATTTTAAGCATTTTCATGAGCCATACAATTTTAGATAGCATGTGATCAACTTCAGAGTCATCTATTGACGTATGAGAAAGTGATGTTTGATTTCTTAAATTTTTTTGTCTGCTCTGATAAGATTTGTTTTTGAGTGGTTTGCTAAGTTACCCAAAAAATTTATGCCTATATTTTTTTAGTTAAAAAATATTCATTGATAAATTTGCTAATGGACTAAAGAAAATGCTAGTGGGTGATCTTGTGAGGGCTAAGAGGAGAAAGTTCACATTATTAGAAATTTATATTTTAAGATAACATAACTTGCGTATGAAGTGCAATCATCAATTTCAAGAACTGCATGAAATGAAACTCCTAGTTAAGAACATCAAGGGCCCTATAGTTTTCTTCCTAAAGCTTTCATCCATCAAGACAATTGAGAAGCTTCCGAGCAAAGTTGCTAGTATTCAACCATTTTTTAATATAATGAGGTATCTCTAGGAAGATAGGTTCTCAAATTTTTTAGATAGGTTCAGAAACATTAAGCCTTCAAATGATAGTCATACCAAAAATAGGATGGTTACACTACTTATTCAGTGGAGGAGAAGGCAAAGAAGATGATGATTACAACCGAGCCCAAAACATCAAAATAACATAGAAATCCATTCATTAATAAGGAGAGTGGAAACAATATATGTCCTTTTAGAAATGATTGTATAGATAAGACTTTAAAAAATATGATCAAGCAAAGGATGGAGCTACTCAAGTTAAAGAAATTAGAAGATGCAGACAAAATAAATAATCCCATCTATTTTCCTTTTCATAGACTCCTCAGTCACACTATTGAGAAGTATTTTGCATTCAAGGGCTGGCTGGGGTCTAAGGTTTTTTTTATAGAGGTACACATTTTTAGAAATGGATGGAGCTACTGTAATTAATGCTATTTAATGTTATTGATCATGATACTAATATTGTTAATAGCATAATATTATTGGCTGTTAATGATAGTGTATGACTGATGATGTAATGGATTGACATGTGATGAATTATAAATATATAAATTGATACATGTAATCAGTATATACATGATGCATATTTTTTTTATATAATTTATAGCATATTGTTCTCTTTTATCTTGCATTAATTTCAGTTGTAAGATTTTAATTACTTACTTGACTATTTGCTCATTACGTGATTTAACATGTTTTCATGCAAGGTAAGGATCTAATAATATGAGATTCTAGACAAGACAAAAATACAGACCTTGTTAACCTATCCAATGTCAAATGAAATATATAAATTGCCAAGAACTAAACATTTAATCCTTGTTGAATCTTAATTACTTAATCTCAAACCAAAGAACCTATCTCTGACTTAGATTAGATTAATACTTATAACTTAATCAAACACTATCTTGATCACTACAATTAAAAACTAATTAACATCTCTTAGGATTTTCACAAGTGAAGAAATAGCACTTTGATCAAACTATCACCAACACCAATAGCCTTAAATTCCAATTATTTCAGATCTGCTTTATGAATCCCTTCTTTCCATCCATTCCAGCTTTTCCATTCATTCCAATAGAATAATAGATAAGCCTACGTCTTGTCTTCATATATTTACTCTGTTCCTCTTCTCACCTATTCCTTGATCAACTTTAAATTCTTTTACAAACCTTAATTTTGTTACTAATTGCACATTCAAATTTCGGTGAATCAGAACCTATGATGCACCGACACTTCTTCTCAAAGAGTCGTAAGAGGCGTGCAGTGTCCGACACCTATCCGACACGACGTTCATCCGACACTCCTCTGACACGTGTAAGACATACTGCAAACGTGTCCAATTTAAAAAAATGTTAAATACAAATTGGACGTGTTTGACACACGCATCATACATATTTTATCCATAATACCAGATGAACCGCCTCGCCCGCACTTAATACCCCATTTATTAAATATTCTCATTTTCATTTCTCTTTAGTGGGTTAACAACTTTTTTTTAGTGGGTTACAACCTTGATTTCACAACAATGCTCAATGTCATTTTAACATTGACGTCTGACGTTGTTACAACATCAACATTTCAAAATGATACACATATCAAAGTTTGACGTTGTCTTTACATTGATGCTCGATGCTAGCAATTTTTACACCCACAACTTGACATCTCATCTTTGTCTAACGTCTTCTCAATATCGATGACCAATGCCCTCACGGCATCGACGATAAACACTCTCTTAACATTGACGCTCAATATTTACTGCATAATATCGATGCCTGACTCTTGACATCATTGTCAACTCTTCTCTCAATGACTAATAAACGGCATCACCGCCCGACTCTTGACATCCTAATATTAAACATTTTAAACACAAATTCTAGTTAAATAACGTCTTATTTCTAAATAATTTTTAAAATTATACTTATTCAATTTTTGTACACTATTTTTAAAATATAAAAATTATAATACTGTGTCCAACCTGTGTTCGTGTCCTATATTTTCAATAATTGATGTCCCGTGTCCGTGTCATGTCGTAAACGCAACGTCGTGTCTGTATCTATGCATCATAGATCAGAACACAACCGATGCTAACTTCAAAATTTTTTCAATGTTAACACCAAAAGAATTTGAAATGCCCAAAAACCTATTGTACTTCATCTCTCTTCCTCCTAATCACTTGCAATTCATCAAACAGGGAAAAAGACTCATATCATAAAACAATCAAACGAGGGTGAAGAAGATTAACATAAACCATTATCTCATTATCCTCACTACTCTAATTCTAAAGATACGTGCAGACTCATTATTGCAGAGCATAGCAAGCCAGACTATGTACAAAATAGTAATAAAAAAAAATAATAAAAAAAAAACTCTCACCTTCTCACCAAGCTCGTCTAAAAAAAAGCTCCTTTACACAATACACTGAAAACCTCGGCACACCGCCAACCAAATCCCAAACAAAACCAAGCAGAGAAGCGAATCAATGGCAACCAAAATCTTCACATACCGCCACCACAATCGCCGCCCATTCTGCTGCATCCGATTTCTAGCGCTCAAGCTCTTCTGAAGCGGCATCGGCCCCGCCGGCTCAACCTCCATCTCGATCCACATCTCTCCTGGTGCCCCCCTGCCCTCGTGATCGCTCCTGCTTCTGCTCAACAACGGAGCCTCGGCCGTCTTCATCAAAGCCGATGACGGCGAGTCGTGGAAAACGGGGATGAGATCTTTGTTGACACTATTGCGAAAGCCATCGCGCACGAGCTCAAGGAAGCGGATGATATCTGGGGAGGGTTCGGCGATACAGAAGTAGGTGTGCCCGTCGTCGTCGAAGAGGAAAGCAAAGGTTCGATCTCCGGTGGTATGGGAGTACCGGAAATGGAAAGGTGGCGCAGTTTGTAGGGCGGCGAAGGCGAGGGATTCCAGGTTGCGATCGAGGCTGTGGTAGTAAAGGATTCGACTCCCTTTCGAGATCGAGCAAAAAAGAATGCTAATTCCGATAGGGAAGTCCATATGAAAAAACTCTAAATTTGATATTGGATTTGGCTAATCGAAATGGAAATTAGGGTAAAGATTGAAACTTCATGTCGAGGCATTGGATTGCGATTTGTAATCGATCGATTAAAAGGGTGGGAGCTAATTTGGCTGATTGGGTGATCACGATGAAGATGAGAAAGAGAGAAAGAGAGAAAGGTATGTTTCCATCGACATCTGGGAGATTTTCTAGGATTTTCTGAGGAATCGATCGGACGACGGGAGTTCGGCATTAATGTGATTTTATGACATGGAGAATTCTGTTAAATTTAAATTAATTAATTAATAATAGGCTAATTTTTAAATAATTATAATTATAATAATTAACTGAATTATAATTACTTAATGAATTATAATTACTCAAGTGACTACGGTAAAGTATATATATATATATATATATATATATTGCGTCTTGGAATATTCACGGCAACAGAGAAATGTAAAATTTAACATCTTAGCTTTGTACGAAGATTCAACACGCAATCATATAAGAGAGAGGGTGTAGCATTCATAAGAGACACCAATATTTTACGTGGAGCACCTTAAAAAAAGGAGAAAATCACAGGGCATAGCCCAATTTGAATGAATATACTAGTATTTGCAATTTATTACAAAATAAGGCCCTTCATTCGGGGAAGGTCTTAGCTTGATGTAGCAAATATACATCATATAAAGTGAGTTGCATGGTGGAAATAGGAAAACTCATTGTTGACATGTTCGTTTGGTCGGAAGGACCATAGTCGGTAAGCGACGGAGGTCAGAAAGAACATTGTCTAGTGACGGAGGTCAGAATGATCATAGTCAGCGGGTGACAGAGGTCGAAAGGACCGTAGTCGGTGGGTGACAATGGTCAGAAATACTATTATTTGGTGAAGTAGGTTGAAAGGTCTGTTGATGTGCGGAAGTCCGATGTCGGGTAAAAATCAGACAAAAGTTCAGCAACAGGAAGAAGTCCAATGACATCTGGTAGATGTCTGATGACGAGCTGAAGTCATGTGTCGGGTAGAATTCCAGCGATGGATAGAAGTCTGACGATAGGCGGGAGTCCGACGAAAGACGAAAGTCCGGTGTCGAGTAGAATTCTGGCGATGGACAAAAGTCTGGTGACAAGTTAAAGTCCAGCGATAGGTGGAAGTCTAGCGTCGAGTAGAAATTTGGTGATGGGTAGAAATCTAACAACTGGACAAAGCCTGGTGTTAGTTGGTGACTGGGCTGAAGTCCGATGTCAGTTGGTGGCTGGGCAAAATTACAATGTTAGTTGGTGGTCGGGCATAATTCTGGTGTCAATTGGTGGTCGGGCAGAAGTACAACGTCGGTCGGCAGCTAGGACGAAGTCTGGTGTTGGTCGGCTGCCGAGTGGAAGTCCGACGCTGGACGATGAGTCTGGTGGCAAGAGAACTCAAGTTTCTATTTTTTCCTTGTCTTACTTGCTTGGTCCCTCCTTCCTTGCTTCAACCCCCCTAAAATGAAGGAGGGGTCTATTTATAGTTTTTTTTTATAGTGCCATGACCACTAAATAAGAGAAAGATCAAGAGTAAATTGTGAGTGGTTTGAATGGACGACCGATATTGATTCCCTTGATAACGGATCGTTTACTAGACAATTGAATGTCTTAATAATACTAGAATTTGACGATCTTAGGCTCGTTGGATTCATCTCGTCGAGCCGCTCAATTCGATTATAAGCATGTCACATTTAGAAATTGTTTGGCAATCCAAATTATGGTTTGAACCTTCCAAATATGCTTCGGGTTGTTTATTTGGACTCGTTTTGGCTAAGATTGAGTCGAATTTGGCGTCATTGGGTTTGTATTTTTGAGACATTTAGTTCAACTATAAGTTTGCTGAAATCGGAGTTCAGATGATCTCCGATTTAATTTTTGAAGTTTCCAACTTGATTTTTGCCTCGAGATTCAGGCCCGATCAAGATAATTTTTCATGATATATCAACATATATTAGTTATATTGTGATGCCCCAGATATCAATAGTGAAAGGATTCGTCTGACATTCTGATCGAACTCCATTCCAGTTGCCTTGCTCGGACCTGAAAATTTTAACCACATATAATGAGCTTACAAAGCCCAGCAGGTCACCAAAGCCTACAACTGAAATCAAAGCACGGCGATGCAATTAATATGCAGGTCAA